AGAGCTTACGCTACCAGCTGATGATAATGAGAAAGGAACCATGGACCCTTCGTGGATCGAAAATGGTGTGTTTGGAATGGCTCTTCCACAATGGGACAATAAAACATCGGCAGCCCCCTCTTCTCAGACGAAGAACCCAGGCATCTAACAAAATAGTCCGGAGAAGTCCCCACCCCCATATCTTGCCTAGGGCTGGACATTCCAAGAGGCACAGGCATTTACACAACAGTTAACAATGATGCTCACTTTTTCCCATTTCACCTATTTCCTCCTTCTAAGGATTATCTGCATGTGACAGAAGTCCAGCGAGATGTCAAATATAGTCATATCAAGCATTCCTGATTAACAGATCATTTGGCATCAGGTGAATCCACAGTATTTCAGAAATAAAATGGTTTCTGAAGTCAGCACAACAAAGATACAGAGAAACTATAGGTAACTCACATACCTATGTTTGGAAGCCATAAATACTTATCAATAATTAAAAATTATGTATCAATAATTGGAAAACTATAGGTGGGACCAAAAGCAATCTGCCTTCAACAGTCTTTGGCATCCATATGTTCAAGCCGTTTCAGATCATAAAAAAACAGAGGGCCATTCAGACTGAATAAACAGGGTAAAGGAAGTCTAATGGATTTGTAGGTAAAATACACTGAAGTGTATTTTCTACGGACCCAGGAGAGGGGAGGTTTAGAAGGCAGTGATACCCTTTGATCAAGAATTAATTTTGTCTTATACAACTGGGCAGTTAAGGAACATATTGTGAAAACAAGCAAATTGTAACAAGGAGTAACAAGAGAGAGTAACAGGTCTTGGAGATGAGATGGGATTGCGTCCCATCCCTGCTCCTCCACTAGGCTGGGCAAGTTCAAACTTTTCTAAACCTCATTGACCTTTTGTCTCCTTCACTGTGAAACCCAGATCCTGCCTCATTTGTGGAAGTGGTGTGAAAGAAAAAAAATCATGTGGAGTAGCGGAGTATTGGCTTGGCCCTTGGTCGGTTCTGAATATGCTGTGTTCTTTTTCTAGCGCAAATTTAGACCAGAGTCCCACAACATCGACTGGAATAATTCTGAGCTATATATACGGCACTTCCTCCCTTCCAGGTGCTTGGGGCCAACCTTGGAGTCCCTGTTGACTTGCCGATTTCCCTCGTACCTCCTCCCCTCCAAGGCAGGAGGAAGTCATGCTGGCTCCCGGATGTCCAGAACATGACCACTTCTTACCCCCTTCATCACTGCCCCTGGGGGAGCTGCTGTCATTTGTCCTAGGTTACCCCACAGCCTCTCCAGCAGCTTCCGTGCTTCTATTCTTGCCTCCACAGGGTATGCACAGCAGAGCAGCCAAAGTGAGCTTCCCAAGGTGCAAGTCAGATAATACTCATAGCCTTCTGATGGCTGCCACCTCACTTAGTTAAAGCCAATGTCTTTGCAAAGGCCCGCCAGACCTCCATGACCCAGCCCCCACTGAACTCTTTCACACCTTCTGTGCTAAAACTCTCACTTTCCCTCACTCTGCATAGCCACTCTGGGCTCATTGCTTTTCCTCAGACACACCCCGCTCACTCCTGTATTGCAGCATTTTGTTTAGCTGTTTTCTCTGCCTGGGACCTCTTTCCTTTTCACTCTATCTTCCTCAACTTTTTCAAATTCTTTGAGCTTGTATCACCCCAATCACTCCAGCTGGCAAACTGGCCCCCACCTGTGTGCATTCTCCATCTGCAGGAACCTGCTTTTCCTGGTCTCCATGGCACTCTTCATACTGTAGTAGAATTTCCTTTTTTTTTGTTTTTAAAGATTTTATTTATTGGGCCGCCTGGGTGGCTCAGTGGGTTAAAGCCTCTGCTTTCGGCTCAGGTCATGGTCTCAGGGTCCTGGGATCGGGTCCCAAGTCGGACTCTCTGCTCGGCAGGGAGCCTCCTTCCTCCTCCCTCTCTGCCTACTTGTGATCTCTCTCTCTGTCAAATAAATAAATAAATAAATCTTTAAAAAATAAAGATGATTATCAAATAAATAAATATTATCAAATAAATAATATTATCAAATAAATAAAATCCTTTTTTAAAAAGATTTTATTTATTTGACAGAGAAAGACACAGCAAGAGAGGGAACACAAGCAAGGGGAGTGGGAGAGGGAGAAGCAGGCTTCCCACTGAGCAGGGAGTCTGATGCGGGGCTCTATCCCAGGAGCCCTGGGATCATGACCTGAGCTGAAGGCAGACGCTTAACGACTGAGCCATTCAGGCACCCCAATAAGGAAAATCTTAAAAAACAAAAAAGGCTAATGGAATCATCCAGATAATACTGTACTGGACCATGGCAATAGCAGCTCAGTGGTGCAAAGGGGCCATGCTAGGATACATTTTGAAGGTAGAGCCCATAGGCTTGTACTGAGGTTTGTAGCCGCAAGCCCGCCCATGTTTTCAGCACACATGTGCAACTTGAGATCCATTTCATACAGTAACAGCTGCTAGGACTCCTGCAGCAAGATATTAGATGTCATGGCTGTCAGAGTTCTACTGGAACTCTTGGGTGTGCGAAAATACACCACACTGCCTTGTTAATGCTGTTATGAAATGTCTATCACTGTGGCTTTCTCCAGAAAATCAAAACTCAGGATCTAAAATTTCTTCAAATATTAATGAGGCAGATCGGGTAAAACAAAAAGGAGTGTGGGCCTTGACGTCAGAAAGAACAATCTTGAACCTTCAGTCTCCCACTTGAGTTTGACCTGCAAGGTTGTCTCAGTCCCTGCTTCTACACTACAGATGACAGCACTGAAGGTGGACCCAGAACGTGTTTCTCTGCTTTCATGAGAAACTGCATGTACCAATATGTAATGGGCTTCGTGAGGGACAGTTTGCATGTACAACGCAAAGACTTAGAGAGAGATCTAACGTATAGCCAAGGAGATTCGGAAACTAAGGAGTGAAGGGAAGGAAGGCTGGAACTCTAATACTTGAACCGCTCATCTGAGCATGTGTTTTACAAATCAGTGGTAAGTCGGGTGAAGTCTACAAAGGAAGTCCAGAAACAACTTGCTCATGTGTTTCCACTGTTCAGCAGCCTTGGCAATGAGCACATCAGACTGTCACGATGGCATCAGTCATCCAGCCAACCTTTCTGTGTCCTTGGCGGCTAAGCAACCTTCCAATGGTGATTTGGGTTCTCTGTGGACTGTTCTAAAGGTATGTGGCCTGGGGGCACCTGGGTGGAGCAGCAGGTTAAGCGTCCAACTCTTGGTTTCTGCTCAGGTTAGAAACCTTTGGGTCATGAACTTGGGCCTCACATCAGGCTCTTCCCTCGGTGCAGAGCCTGCTTGATATTCTCTTTCCCTCTGCCCTCTTGCTTGTGCCCTCTAATAACTAAACAAATCTTTAAAAATAATAATAATAATAAATTAAAGAAAAAAAAACATGGTCTGCTTGGCAGATAGAATTCTTACAGTAAATTAATAAACTGGAATTCCACATGTTAAGACATTAAGACGTGCCTTTTTATTCCCTAGTCAAAGGAAGAAAATTCAAGTGTTGGCAATAGGGTGAAGATTCTAGCAGTAATAAAAAACTTAAAATATGCATATTCTTTGACCTAGTAATTCCCACGTTGAAGTATTTATCCTATGAAAATAACTGGAAAAGTGGGCAAAGATGAACATACAAGCATGCTGAATTTAGCATTTCTTAAAGTATTTTAATTAAAATTATATATATTCTAAAAATATATGGTCTAGTTTTAACATGTTATTTGTAAAATAACTGACAGTTGAGCCACATAATAGAACAATGGGATACCGCGGTCCAGACTAGGTGATGCCAGTGTGCGCGTGCGCGCGCGCGCGCGCGCACACACACACACACACACACACACACACACACACACACACACACACTCCAACCTCAGTGGGTCAGAACAAAGATTTATTGATCTCCCATGCAAAGTCCACTGCAGGTCCAGGGCAGTCAGGCTTCAGATCTTCTCTATCAACATGCACTTCTGTGACCCCTGTGGGAAACCCGTGGAGGTTAAGCCTCTCCCCAGCCATTAAACGCTTCTGCCCGTACTTAATTGGCTAAAGCAAGTCACGTGGCCTCACTGGCCCTCAAAGCCCGCAGCACAGGTCCCGTTGCACAGCGGTCATATCCACAACTGTGAATGCTCCTGTGGAGCTCTATTTGTTGATGTGGGCAAAGGATCCATAGTACCTTGGCAGTGGTAAAAGTATGGCCCCTGAACACTCTATCCAGAGGTGTTTTGTTACATGTCCTGCATGCATTTAACGAAAACACTGAAAGACATATAGCCCAGGTTTAACAGTGTTTTCTCTGGGGGGTTAGGACAGAGGGCTTAAAGCACATCATTTTAACATTTTTGGTATTATCTTTTTATTTTCACTTTTTAAACTATATATTATTTTATTACATATTATTTACTAAATAAAGCTATATGTCTTTGAAGACACAAAGTAAACTGCCATGCTGGTTTCTAAGAAACCAACTTCCTATCAGTGAAGCAGAGGAATCATCTCTCCTGGGTCAGAAGCACCCCGTGTTTATTCACAAGATGGAGCTGCTTGCTGATGTGGAGAACTGGGGCACAGATGCCGGTGTGTCCCCATGCACCTCGGGGAACCTAGACATCCAAAGCAATCGGACTCTGGGGCTTCACAAACTTGGAGAGAGATAACACCTAACCCCGAACCCTTACAGGAAACACTCATGACAAACAAGCACGTGAAAGCAGGTATTATGGAGAAGGCAAGTGCTTTCAAGTCAGACCAACAGACAAGATCTTCTTAGCTTCTCATCTGTAAAACAGGAACAGTAACACCCCTGAAGTGTCTCCAGGATGGAACAGCAGAATGCAGGCAGAGCAGCAGCATACTGTGATAAATACAGGCTGGCTAGTATTACTGCCTTGGGTCCGTATCAAACATAACAAAAGCTAAATTAAGCAAGAGAGTAACAAGCAAGGAACATTTTATTGTGTACGTATATTCTCAAAAAAAAAAAAAAAAACCCACAAAAACAGAACCCACAAACAGGAGCAAAGAACAAAGTTTTCTAACTCTCTGGGATTCACTGGGGCACCATATCTCATAGAAACACAGCTAGTACAAGACAAAATGTACTAATTGACACTGCCCTCTGCTTCCCCAGTCAAAAAGGCTATAGAGTAAAACACTTTAAATTGTATTCTAATATAAACTCATTGCACAAGGAGTTACTGTATAGTAAACTGCAGAAAACAGAGTAGGCATTTGATAATCTGCTCACAACTAACAATTAAGCAATAGACACTTGAATAAATAGAGCATGTATTACTTATTTGTTAAACCTCGGGTTTATAATGAGCAGATGGTTTATCATTAATAACTGGTTAACTGGTTCCTTACATTTTAGAAGACACCAGATCCAGTAACGGAAGTAGGAAGTAACTGAATGAAACCCAATTCAGAAAGTATTTCCTTGGGTCTGGGTCACCATGGAATTTATAACATATTTATGCCAGTTTCAACAGTTTAAAAATGTAGGTACTAGTAAATTGAATTCTTTAGGGGAGAACCAAGTGACATGTTCTAGAGAGCTATTTTTTGTTCATATCCTCCAGGCAGCAGGACAGAAAGTAGGACATTGTAAACAGAGATTTACAGTATAATGAATAATCTGTTTCCAGCTAATGCCATGGGGGTGTTTCTGTCATTTGCAGTTAAAAAAAAAAAAAAAGGAGGGCAATTTGAGAATACGTCTCAAATGAAGAACTGACATTTCCTTATCACAGACATACTAGATCTAAAACATAAGGATCTTCTCTAACATTCTGTACTTCTTAATCCCTAAGTTACAGGAATTAGCGTGAGTATTCAGGAATGGAAAAACCATGAAGTGTTACTTGAAGAGCTATTTTAAATGACCCGTTTAAGAGTAACGCAGTCAAAATAAGGCAATAACTAGAAACCTAGTTGGATCTTCCTTCTGTGTCCGGTCAGCAGAACTGTGAAAATAATTTTTGCTCACCTTTATAAAAAATATTACCCATTTGCTCCCTAGTGTGCAGTAGAGACAAGACAAGCCTGCGATGTGTGTCCCTAAAATGAAAAGTGCTAACAAGCTCTGGTGGAGAGAAAAGTTAACTGAGACATTCTTTCCTTTTGCCGATACCCCTCTCTAATTCTCCCTTATATAATGCCTTTCCTCTTTGATTTACATTAGCTTAACCCCATAGGAGGTGCTCTCACAACCTTATATTCTCTATTGAACACTGCGTTTTTCATTCAGTTTTTAAAATAAAAGAAGGTTGAAAGCTACAGCATGATATTGTGCTCAGTCGACCATAGACATTATAAAATCACATTTTACAGAAGTTAAAGGCAAACAAAAAACCACAGTTCGGTACTTGTCAAAATGGCAAGAAACAGATCATATCCTATTTTCCTTTCAGGACTTCACAAAATCCCCAGGATAGCACCTTTGCATGAGCTGGACCATTAACTGAACAAGAGCTAACATTCAAAACTGCCCTGTAAGAGCTCATCCCTCCAGTTTCCTTCTGTCTTAGTATCATACGTTTTGCAAAGAGCTCACAAAAAGTTTTTAAAAAGCAAACACCTTTTTCAGGTGATAGAACACAAAAATCATATGGAGCAACAAAACCCTTCAGTCTTATTTGTGAAAGCAAGTCAATTTTTAATGCAGATTATTCGAAATATGAGGTACCTGAACTCCTTTCCCTATCATTTGTGTCACTTGGCCAGTAAGACATCTTAATTACCTATCTTAAATATTACAGTCCCTTTCAGCTGTTAAAAAAAAGATTTAATCCCTTCCTCATATCACAGCGAACCACCATGCTGTCTTGATAGGATCCCAACACAGTGACGCAGTAGTGAGTTTTTAATCAATATCCACTAGGAAGACTAACAAAAATACTGTTGCCATCTACTTAAAATTTGTCTTTAAGAAAAGTAGGCCTCTCTCCACTCACTTGCATAGCCCTCAAGTAATAGGTACGTGTACTATTGTTAAAAACAATCAAAGAAATAAATATTGGAATATTAAAAGACAGGCTCTCCCTTTCCCCATATCTTCCCCATCCTGTTACTAAATGGCCAAAAACTTTTAAAATGCCATTTGATACAAGAGAATTCACTAGTTGCTATGAAAGCAATTTACAAGTTAGGAATTACTGTGCAGGACCTGGTTAACAATTCCTGCTCTGGGTTACTAATTCCCTTCTATGAGATGCTGATAATATTCCTTACAACGAAAAGTCAACATAGTTTAAAAAGCTTTGGAGTTCTTTTCCCAGGTGTATTATTACTAAACTGCCACAGTATCGCAGGGGCCCGTCTTGGGACTACAAACAGAATGTGTCTTTTTAGGAGGACTGGGCTGTTCCACGGAGCGGACTGATTATCTCCCTTCATCATCATGCTGCCAGCGGGGCTGTTTTCCCATTTTCTGAGAGTCGTTACTGACAGCAGCGAGTATCAGGTGGCTTGTGTGACTCCCACATTAACAGCACCATTAAAAACGTTTTGTCTTCAGGGAACATTTGGGGGAAAGGGAAGGATGTGGGCTGCCTAGGTTAATACAGAAATTGTACAGCTCACTTGGTAACAACGGGGAAGGTTGGCCCCCGGCACACCGGCTGGCTGGGAAGAGGAAACTGAGCGCTCTCGACACCGAGTGCAGGTAAGGGTGCTACCTGGAGAGAACAGAGATCTTTAAGAAGAATCACTACGTGCAGAGAATATTCACATACTGCCAGTGAGGAAGGAGAGATCTCTGGGTTCTTGGGGTCCTCCTGCACCCCTCAAGAGAGAGACAGCAAGTCCTCCTCTCCTAATCCCTGCTCTAACAACAGAGCCACAGGAGCCCGTGGAGGGCCGGCAAGTCTTAGGGGAAGGGTGTTTGCACTTGGGACTGCTTTAACGCTTTTGTTCAATGGTTTTTCCTCTAAACTCTCATTTGCCGAATGACTCCTTCAGCACATGTGAGCTCACTGCTCATGAGGAGGTCTCACTGAAGTCATTCCTTTCCTCAGGGAACCACAACAGATGAACTTTTTTTTTCCATATTCGTCCCTACAGGTAGTTCCGCAAAGGCCCCCAAACACACCTTACATTTTTTTCTCTTTAAAAATGTTGCTTTGTTTTTTAGTGGCTACTATCCATTCACGTGACCGTGACCACGGAGCCACGGGGAAGGGCTGTGTTGGTGAAGGGTGCCGCGGGGAAGGTGCAGACCTTGACCAGCTCCTGGATCAACGTGGAGCAAACCCAGTTGCCAGACTGCAGCCCACCACAGGCGTCATGTCCCATATCTGCAAGATAAAGAACATGCTAGAGAAGGCTGCGCTCGTCACAGGGCCCAGAATCAGCACTCACACCAAACAGTTATTAACCTGGAAAAGGGGATAAAAGAACTCAATCTATCATTCTTTCACTACAAAACCTCCTCAAGATCTACAGACGAAACCCCTCAGTGCACTAAAATTTGAAAAAAGCTTGTGTTATCTTGAGATCCGAAAATGACATAATAATGATGTTTTATTATAAATCTAATTTCATTTTTAATAAAAAGCCCACTGGGAACATTTCCTATTTTAAAAAAAAAAAGATTATGAAATAAAGTGTGTCATGGTTTCACAACTCTGGAGTGGTACTCAGTATGAAACACTTGCTTTTCGTTCCTGTGTTAGTGACCTGAGGGATCTAGTGAAAGAACATCTGGTTATTTCCTACAACTAGGAAACCTGTCTGGGCCAAAAGGAACACCAGCCGGGGAAGGATGACCAGGCAGAGGGGCTGACTAAGCCCTGACTGACTGGGGAGGCAGGACCTCTAGGCAGAGAGTGACCCAGGGGTGCCAGGCCCCAGCAGCTACTCTGAGAGGTAGAGGTGGTGCCGGAAACCCCCCCGGAAGGAGGGGCCACTGCATGCGGCGGTGGAGTTTGTTGCTCAGGGTTTCCATCCTGCTACAGGCTGCACGGCTGCTCATGAAAAGGGAAGGCAAGCCCATTGACAAGAGAGTGAAACCAGGCCAGCAGCTATCTGTCCACAGCACAGCCACGGAGCACTCCACACACAGATGCTCCCTGGGACACGAGCAGGCTACCTTTACGACGCGGTCGGTCCCACAGGTCACCATCAGTCCCCGAGCAATGTCCATGGACATGTGGGAAATGTTATGTTTTCCTTCATGAAAGGTTGCTAGAGAAGTCCGACTAACAAAGAGAAAAAAGAAAAGAGACCGCTGAAAGCTCACCTGTTTCCAGAGCTAAGGGAAGAGGTTTTTTTGCAACGTAACAATGATAGTGTTAAAAATTTATTCCTAAAAATGTGGCTACAGTTTGGAAAACTGTTTATAATTAGAGGACAAAAGGCAGGATAAGCTGAAGATTATTTTACATAAGGTCTGACAAAACTCTCCAGATAACTGATTTTATTTTTTTAGTGGAAAGGCTAGTATACTCCTAGACATAGAACAAGGGCCTTAACTGTGCAGAGGAACTGCACAACAGGAGATCCTACCCCGTGGACAAGACCTTCATAGGGAGGCAACAGGCCCCTGAAGACTCTGGGTCCTCCAGGAGCAGCTCGGGGCACCGGCTCTCACTCTGCTCCTGCACCCAAACCCCGGCCTCGTCATGAGCACGCATGGACTGATACCAGTCATGCCGACTAGCTTTTCCACTTGGGCCTCAGCCAAGGTCTGCCAATGTAGCACTTTCTAAGATGATTCAAAGGGAAGGCAAAGGAAACGAAATTCCCAGACCCATGCAAGCCAGGGTTGGGACACTGGAGGGACAGCAACCTCTGCCACCACACTGGTGTGTGCTGGTCTTGACCCTGAGGGGGCTCAGGGATGCCCCGCCGCTCAGCAGCCCCAATGGTCTAAGCAACACCACGCCCCAGAGTGTTGGGGAGAAACTTGTCTAAGGTCATACAGCGAGGACAGAACGCCCTCCCCAGGAACATTTAGGGAGCTGGGAAGAGACGAACAGGGGGCATCATTTCTCAGTCCTCCCCCTGCAGGCACCTAGTAAGACGAAGACCCACAAACACTCACTCCTCGTCCTTGATGGAGTCGTAGCAGGAGTCGCACACCCGGACCTGGAACTCGAAGCCCATGACAGGGTAGCTGGAGCGCTTGCTGCTGCACTTCCCACACACAGCCTGCCCACATTTCCGGCAGTGATGCTTCAGGACCACCGGAGGGAGGAAAAGGCGGAGTTTAACTTTCGCTCCTGTTCCGCTTCAGGGCAGGAGGGTAGGAGTGGGGAAGATTCGCCCTGAATTATAATTACCCTATTCAATGTACCATTAACACGGCAGGCAGAGAGTGTCAACATTTGTCAAGGATTTCCAAAGATCCTTGTTTTATTGGTCAAATACTGCTTTTTATTCATTCATATTATCTGTCTAGAGGTCCTCAAACAACATTATTAAAACCAACTTCAAGATCATTTAGGAGCTCAAATGACTACAGGTTTCAGGAAAAAAAAAAATCTATTCCTATGTCAGAGAAAAGGTTTCAAATAAAGTAATATGACCTCATTAAGAAATAAATATTCATAATGTATGTTTTATCATCTCTTTTAATCCTTCAAACTGTGATTCTGGAAATAAGCTTCAAGGACATTCAGAACAGTCCGGTTATTCATTCTGCCATATTCTTTTACCACTAAAAGTTTAGTAACCCATACCTTTCCTCTCTCTTCTAGTAGTTAATTCATAAGATGGAAATTAACGTCTTCACGTTTAGAGGTAGGGATTATCTTGCCCAGCAATTACAATGCACTAGTTACCAGCAGACATGCATTGCGGGAAGCAGTCTAACCATGGAACTAGAACTCGAGTTCCATTTCCGAGCATCGGAATGTTATAGGAATGCTAAGATCACCCCTGCACTGCCTGCCAGTCTCATAGCAGACCTTGTGGGGAGTAGCTTTGTAAGTGACACTGAAGAAAGTTTATTGACACACACAAACTTTAGGCCAATCCCTCAGAGAGGCGCAAAGAAATAAAATCAGCATTCTTCATTACTTACCTGCATCAATTCATACTGAATTCATATTCAATCTGAGTGGACTACCTTCAAGGTTGCTGTAGAAATATGTTTTTTGTAGAACTTTAGAATTACATGAATACCTAGTGATAAGGGCGTCTTTGAAATCTATAGGCTATTTGGGACATGTTTCTCTTATCCAAAAGAGAGAGAGAGAGAGAGAGAAAGAGAAAGAGAGAGAGAGAGAGAGAGAGAGAGTGTACCAGAAACATGCTTAATAAAAATGTTCCAGGTACACCAGGCACACTTATACGGAACAATCTGTGAATAATTTAAAATTCTTAGTGTCACAGTACTCCAGTGAGGGCCAAATTTTTACATTTTTAACAAACAGTGAAAGCATAAGGTTTACAACCATATGACCTGCTTCATTCTCATTCTGAGCATGGTTAGCACGGAACACTGACTTGAACAAGCCACACTCCTAGACTGAAGGATCTTTCATGTATTTGCAAATAGGCTCTCAGTGTTTTCCGTGCATCCATGCTTTTCCAACACTGGACAAGTGACGGAACACTTGGGTAATAATCTTGCTGCACCAGGAACGCCTCACTCATGGTTGTTACACAGAGATGGTGATCTCAAAAATGCAGGAGGTCACAGCACTTACAGGAAAAAGTATGATTCCAAACAAAATGACAAATTAGTACCACAAAGAACAAGATACATGATTAATCCAGTGAGAGCTCAACGTCGGCTACTCACCTGTCTCAACCCCAGTGTCTTTGTGTCCCACATCTGCTTTATATTCCAGAAAAAGGGCTGCTCGCATTTCTGGCAAGAATCACTCTCTAACCACTGAGGAGCCTGGGGGAGAAGAAAGTCAAAGCCACCATTGGAACATCTCCTTGTTTACTAGGATTTTTCAGGGTTAATACCACAGTTTCAGACCTTGCTAGGTTGTTAGCATTTTTTTAAAAACTTCCTCATTTTAGCTTTTGCCATATTCAATATTATGTATTTTCCATAATCTCTATCATTTTAGCAACGTTGACAAGATTGTTCCATTTTTGGGGCGCCTGGGTGGCTCAGTGGGTTAAGGCCTTCGGTTCAGGTCATGATCCCAGGGTCATGGGATCGAGCCCCGCATCAGGCTCTCTGCTCAGCGGGGAGCCTGCTTCCCCACCCACCCCCCATGCCTGCCTCTCTGCCTACTTGTGATCTCTGTCTGTCAAATAAATAAATAAAAACTAAAAAAAAAAAAGATTGTTCCGTTTTTAACATATATAGATAGGAAGGAGTAATTCAGTTTTTACTGTGAACTCCTAAGGGTTGTCTTCATGTATTTCTTTTTTGTGCCAGATACTGTTTAATATCTATATCCAGTTGAGTGAAAGCCCATTTCTTACAGAATCTAGTGAACTACCACTCGGGAAGTCTTGCGAGGTCACAGGGTGGCCAACAGGAGCATTCTTCCGGGTGTATCTCGTGTCAGACAGATTTGCCACCCCCAAGCCCCTGCCCCCAGCTCCTGGGAGCTCCTGTGTCTCACACCACCCTCAGACCTCTGCTCCAGCACTGGCCTCTCTGTGCTGTCATCCTTTATGCCCATTTCCTTTCTGTCACTAACCTGTTATTCACCAGGCTCGCCCATCTTTGTGTAGGGATAGCCTGTCACAGACTAGGTTCTTGATGAATTTTTATTGAAAGACGATGACTAAAGTCTCAGCATTACTTTAACAAGGGCTTAGAAAATATTTCTCTAAACAAACCATTACAAATTGTACCCGATTAGGGGCACCTGGATGGCTCAGTCAGCTAAACATCTGCCTTGGGCTCAGCTCATGATCTCAGGGTCTTGGGATCCAGCCCTACGTCATTCAGTGGGAAGCCTGCTTCTCCTTCTGCCCCTCCCCCACTCCTGCTTTCTCTCTCTCTCCCTCAAATAAAAAAAAAAACAAAAAACCAAAAAACCAAATTGTACCCTATTACAAGATGAAATCATTCAAAGTTATCATTCAACCTCAATCACTTACCATTCTATATGTGCACAAATAGAAAACATGCATTTCTATCAATTAAACCAAAGACTATGACAAAATAATCCTTTTGATCTTGAAATTGGGACGCATAAGAAAAATATCCACGGTAAGAGGAGACAATGCTGGGAGAACACAGACACGGCATCACACCGACCCTTCTAACACAGGCAGGAGAGACTGAGGACTTTCAACACTCAAACCCGGACTTCTGGGGGCTTCAAGGACGGGTGCCCTTACTTCCTTATTTTGCTTCCTATTGCATCAGAACTTTTGGGTTTCCTACTTCTTATTTCAGCGATGTCACCAGAAATATTTCTACACGTGACAGCCATGACAAAGGTGTTTCTTGGTGGGGGCGGGGGGAGCACTCACAAATCGCAGGACATGCGCTGAGACAGAAGAGAGGTCCCTTTAAACAATGGAGACGTGCTGGAAGGACGGGAGGACGGACAGAGCAACAGGGACGGGCACCTCGGTGAGGAAGAGCACCGTCTGGCTGCAGAACCACCTCTGCTTCTGTGGTCCATGGAACGCGGAACGAGGTCTGGGAACAGTGCTTGAGCACCCCGTCCCCCACAGTGGGCCCTGCCGCCAGCGGCACAGGGGAGGGGACGCAGGGGCCATGGCCTGGTCTCATGGCTGGGACTCCTGCCGGCCAGACGCCCACAGCACCACACGCGCGTGCAAAAGAGCACAAGACGTGTTCAGGGCGGCAGGATCCAAGCAGGAGGAGCCCCGGGTGAGGGCGTGAGGAAGGCGTGAGTGAACCCAGGTGAAGTGCTCGCACGGCACCCGGTATGCGAAGCGTCACGCACGTGCGGGCCGAGTGCTGAGATCAGCTGTGCCTTATTTCACCCGATTCTCCACACAACCGCAGGGCACACAGGCCACACCGTCCTCACTGTGCCGCAGACGAACCGGGGCTCTGACCCCGGGAGACGCAGTGGCCGCAGCCTGAGCCCCGGTGCCTGTCGGCCACACTCCACACAGCTGCCGCACGTGGGCCTCTGGGGCGGGACCCGTGAGGTCTCCACCCGTGGCTCTGGGGGGGGACCGCCAACGGAACCGGGTCCCTGCCCTCAGGAGCTTCGCTCTGTCTAGGGGTTTAGGAAAGAATATTACTTCGCTGAGCTGCAGGAGAGAGCGGCTCGGAGGAAGAAGGGTAAGTTTGAAGTAATCTGAGGTAACAAACCAAAAACATCAGAAAGAAACAGGCTTTCTGGAACAGTTTACTGTAAGAAATACCCGTCACTGCTATGCTCTAGGCTGTCAGGGAGCAGCCGGTTATGTGCTTACTCCCTGCAGAGGAAAAACACTCCTTTCCTAAGAAGAGCAAAAGAGAATATTAATCAGGAATTCTGCTCAAAGATGATGCAGCAAGAACAGCCCCTTGCACCACCATCACCGGCTGGGCAAGAACGCACACTGTACTGACGTATACACACACACTAACGCGTGCCATCACACACCCTGGGATCTACTAGTTTAAAAGTTCTCTTTTAAAGAGGATCCAGTCTAATGATTACTTGCTCGTTTATATTTCATGCCTACCTCCAAAAAGGAGCCCCTCTAATTATGATCTGGCAGGGAAACAATTGCCCCAGTCAGCATCTCCAGGTGACTCAGAAAGAAATTCCAAGCAGGCAGTGTGGGCCTAGAGAATCTGGGCCTTTGCCTAAGGAAGTCCTACAAATTGTACAAACCCTAACTCAGGGCCAGAACCTTATAGATCACAGGCTGTTTCCCTTTGCGCTATACTAAGCTGGTTTAAAAAAAAAAATAAAACTACTAAAAATAATGCATTTTTAAAAAGATTTATTGATTTACTTTAGAGAAAGATAGAGTGCATGGGGGTGGGGCAAAGGGAGAGGGAGAGAAAATCTCAAGCAGATTCCGTACTGAGCATGGACCCTAATATGGGGCTTGATCTCAGAATCCTGAGATCATGACCTGAGCTGAAACCCAGGTGCCCGAATAATGCATCTTTTTTATATAATTCGCTTCCCCACCAACACTGTCAATTACTGGGAGAGAAGCTAGTCGAGCGCGATGTGCTACCAGCCAGCATGCAAGTGATCCTGGGTAATCTTCCACAAACAATTAAAGAGAGAACCACCTACACAGGAAGTGGCCTGAGTGATGGCGCTATATTTTCTTTCCCTAGACATACAGATAAACTCCATAATTGCGTAATCTTGAAGGAGGGGTGGAATCTTGCTTTTATTTTGTCATTCTTTCCTAAAAGAATTTACTAAGGATAAGAACAGTGGATTGAAATCCAAGTGGGTAAGCCCTTAGGGGAACCACCAGCAACACTGGCCCCAGGGGGCACCTTCCCACGTGAACCAGGGAACACAGCCTCCGAGTTAGCTGTGTTCTCAACAAAATCAAAACAAAGAGACCAAGAGCCCAGGAAACCGAACAGTATACTAGTTGTTCTTGACACCTGAATCTAGCAGCTATTGTAAAACACAGCTAAAATAAATCTTTGTAAGGAAAGTGCCCATAACTAATATTAAGCCAATATTATATGTGTTTCATGAATTACCTTAAGCCTTACCAAAATATCTTGCCGCACACAGGTAATCAAGATTTCCTACACTTAACTCATCTCACAAGGTTACTAGAAAAGCTAGTGATCACTACTTCTCCACATATGGATTTCATTTTATTATTTATGTATAGGTTAGTCTATTTCCTTCATGAGATTACAAGTCTACAAAAAGCAGGCAAGAATCTGCGTAATGAGCATGGTAGCCATAAAACCTGAAAATGAGTAATGTTGCCTTGATTACGATTTCTGTGGTATGCCTAAGATGCAGGTTTATTTGGTGAAAACGAGACTCCCAAGTAATCAGGAGGCCCCACAAAGCAGATGTGTGCGGAGTGGGGTGGAAACGGTGCACCCACGCCCAGAGTCTGCTTCGAGGGGCACACGGGGCCTCTGCAGGACCCCGGTAACGTCACACAGCCCGTGTGTAGGGCCATGCAGTGCCGTAACCCTCTATGAGGCAGATGCACCTGCCTCCAGACCTGTGAGCCATCCTGTAGGGGCTCAAGAGATGTCTGAAGTTCAACTGTAAGCCCTCAGTTCCTCACACTCTAAAATCTCTTCTGAGTCAACAAAGAGGCAACTCTTCTGCTGTTTACATCACAGGTTGGAAAAGACAGATAATAACCACGCTGGCAGACATGAGAATGGAAATCCTGCCTGGAAGTCAGCTGACACCATCTATAAAAAGCCTTAAGACATCTCCTTATCCCAGAAGGTCTATTTTCAGAAATCTGTCTGAAATAAATAAACAATCACACAATGACGAGGTCAAGAATGTTCACTGCAGCATTATGTAAAATAGAAAAAAACAACCAAGTTGCCCATGAATAAGAGAACAGACTGGTGGCTGCTAGAGGAGAAGTATGGAGGTGGGGGAAAGGAGTGAAGGGGGTCAAAAGGTGACCCAAGAATCTGGGGGTCTCCTAAGCGCCTACCCACTTGGATTTCAATCTACTACTCTTACCCTTGATAAATTCTTTTAGAAAAAAAAAGTTGCAAACTAAAAGCAAGATTCCCACCTTCAAGATTACATGATTATGGAGTGTACGTTCTTCAATACAAGAAATTAAAGTTTTGAAACAATGGTTGGTGCTGGATGCTAACTGGGCTCATCGTGGGATCATGGTCCAATACCTATGAATGCCGAATTGTTATTTTCATACCTGAAGTTCATATAAAGATATATGTCAATTATTTCTCAATTTAAAAGAAGATGGCGAGGTTGTTTAGACAATCAGTGAATCTGCCTCAAGAACTAGAAGAGGTTTGGAAGTTGTGTCATTGAACGATCCTGCTTGAAGGAGGGTGGAACTGACACTCAGAGATAATGACACTCCTCTGAACAAGGTCCCACAACTAGTTAGTGGCCCCAGCAAATTAGAACACCCGTCTCCTAAAAAGAACACTATGTCAACATGTGCTCAGTGGAAAATAAAGCAGAGGATAGAGATATTCTTTCCCAGGAAAACATGAGGCTCCTGGCAAGGTCCCGGGCACTAGTCACAGCAGGCATCCCAGAGTACTGGGTAACAGGGATGCCGTGGGGCTGCTGCAGTGCTTCCTGCGGCTGCGCACAGTGCGTGCCCCAGGCGACACAGGGAACTGTCTCCGGCATGTACTCAGTGCACGTCTGCATACTGAAAACAGCCCACATCCTCAATCTGTGGGCAAGGCCTGTCACTGCGGAAACTCTCACGTGGCGAGAGGACACGGGACAAACTGACGGGCAGGACCTTGTCAGATAATAACCAGTAAGTACAAGGGAGAGGGGCTGGGGCTGTCTGTAACCTGGTCAGCATCGAGAGCCCGCAGGGTGGGAAGCCAAGAAGCCAGGTCCTCGGGGACCTCTCCACATCAGCCTTGCCCTGCTCCTTCTCTTACCTCCTCTCTGCTAACGTCCATGTTCCACACTGCAATCCCACCATCCGAGGAACAGGAGACCAGCTGCCTTGTGAGCTGAAGGTAACACAGCGACTGCACTCTGTCACTGTAAACAACACACATCGGTCACTCGTCTCAATGTGGAGAAACATAGATACTGTCTTCACTTAGGCTCCAATCTCTCCCCTTGCTGGAATCAGCCACTGGCATTTTATCATTGACAATTTGGTATAATTTCCTGGCTTCTAGTCTAAACTTGGATCAGCGTTCTGTAACTTATTACACAGCATAGTCGCTTCTATGAAATAAAAACTACTTTCAAGTCAGTCCCTCAGAATTGCAGGCCACAGATAGGGCAATGGCTGTTTTCAGGACCAGTCGCTGTGGTCCATTCCTTTTCAGGTATACAAGACTCACCTACCTGCTCATAACAAAGAACAAAGGAGGGGTGACTCCCTTACTGGAACACAACCCATAAGAATAGGTGATGAAACGCCAGAGACAACTGACACACACACTTGCCCGTGCACTCACTCGTGCACACACATGTGCACACACAATGATGGAATGAAATCTGCCTCCTTCCCATATGCTTGTCAGACTCCTTTCTGGATCCCCTACGAAGCAATCTCCTGCCCTGCAGACTTGTGTGAAGCATCTTTCCTGGGGCGCCTGAGGGGCTTGGGCAGTTAAGTGTCTGCCTTCAGCTCAGGTCATGATCCCAGGGTCCTGGGATCAAGCCTCACATCAGGCTCCCTGCTCAGCAGGCAATCTGCTTCTCTCTCTCCCTCTGCCTCTCCCCCTATTCTGCATGCTCTCTCAATCTCTCTCTGCCTAATAAATAAATAAAATCTTTAAAAAAAAAAAAAAAAAGAATCTTTCCTTGGCTAATTTTCAATGTGATTCTGCTTACGGTAAGCAGCAACAGGCTAACCAATGGGGAGGAAAGGCCAGTGTCCCTTCCCTCTCAAAACCAGAAGGCCTGGGTATTACACTGTCCTAGCTCAGCTGACGTGTCAAACCACACCCACATGTGACATTTCAGAATAAAAGAACAAATCGGGCATCCAGTTCGAGACAGGCTCAGCACGACATTCCACGCCATCTTCCACGGTCAAAGTCTCACCGGAACCTCCTTAACAGTCCCCCCAGCAGGTAGTTCAACAGGGTGACTCCTCAGGAGAGGCAGGTGGCAAGTGCTCTTTGGACTAAGAAGGAAGAAGACCCTGGGCTCTATTTTTGTTCTACAACATCAGTCAGGACTCACAGAAGAGCAGTTAAAAGGGACTGAGTGAGCCCCAGTAAATGGCTGTCTTAACAGATGGGGTTTGAGAAAGCAGGAGCAGACTACGAATGCTGCCCTCCTGCCCCCACAGACTCTGATTCTGTCCCCACCCCCACAAACAGTCACGCACTGATGGCCTTGCAGCAAGAGCGTGCGGCCTTTCCGTCCCCCGATGTCCCACATGATGATGCTGTTGTCAGAGGCTCCTGAGAAGAGTAACCGCTGAATAGGGTCCCACCAGAGGCAGGCGATGCTTCCTACAGGGCAGAGAGAGGGCGAGGTTAGGTACAGCTTTCCACCTGCACAGCTGGACTGAACAAGGACCAGCTAAGCCCCGAAGTCAAAACATCTCTTTGCTGTGTGAAAGGTCATTCAACGCTTTATCATGAGTCGCTGAGAAGAAAGAGCACATCCATCCCCCAGACTTGTAAGATAATGATCTTTGGTTGGACATCAAACTACTTTGGACACAAAGATGTTCAAAGAAATATTTTTCATTCTGTATCAAAAAAAAAATTACACAATAGCTGTATATATATACATATATATATATATGTATATATATATATAAAGCTAACGCTATTTCATGAGAAAAGACAGTGAAGATTATTGTGGTCAACTTGGGTAATCTAAAAATCTAGATTATTCCAGGTCTCCAACATTGCAGGTGTTTTACCTTATGATGCATGTTTAAGAAAATTAAATTGAGGGTCTCAGAAAAAAATGGTCTGTAGGTATACCATACAATTATGCCAGAGAATTTAGGTAAAAAAGTCCAAACTTCACAATTCATATTCTCTGTTGGGTGAACTAATCAGATTCAATATCCTTGGGAAATCTTTCTTTCTACAGCTCTCTAATCTATTTCTCTCTCAACAGATTTCTCTCTTCATTATTCTACTGATTACTGCCTATCTTGAAAAATTATTAATAAACTTAATAAAACAGAACCCGTCACACAAGTTAATAATATTTTTGGTGGTTATAGAGAAAACTGATGAAGTCATACTCAAAAGCAAACAACAGTAACTAGTTTCTCACAGAAACTTAACGTAAGTGAAAAGAAAAGTGTTCTGCAAAACTGGCTTCAGGGAACAATTATGCATAAATTTAAGCCTGTGCTGCATACACTTCAGCTAGAGGCCTTACAGCAGATAAACACGGGGCTTTGCTATAAACACCATGAAGCAGTTACCAGAACCTGGTCTGTCCTTAGCAACACAGAGAATACTTGTGAGCCTGGGGATCATGAGACCATTAGTCATAAACACAAGTGGTTTCCTTAGGGGCTGTGCTTTCCTGCCCAAATACATTCTAACTTGCTGTTTTTCTCCTCTCTCCCCTTTGCTCAAAAAGGTCCCTGATCTGACGCACTCGATTTCACCCAAATAGATCAGCAAGGAAGCACAGAGCACATTCAACTTGTTATACTAAAAACACTGTTTTCAAAAATAAGTTCATCATTAATTCTTTGAACAAATCCCCATTTCTTCAGTCTAAACCAAACAGTGGCAAAACTTCTAATTTGTTACCCAATACAGCCAAATGAGTTTTAAAACCCTTCCACAGAACCTGGCCAACTGTGCTGGAAAAATAGTAAAATTCCACCCATTCTTTCCCCTCAGTCCCTAACTGAGCAGAGGCAGAACCAGCCCAGACATTTCTCCTAATTGTATTGCTCTATCAGGTCTTGTTCAGTATCCCAGAAACCGAACCCCACCTCAAAAAAATCTTCTAAAGGTCTCACCACTTACAAGAAATTTTCAAAGACCTTCTGAAAATAACTTAAAAAGGCAAACATAATAGAAAGTATTACCCCCACGAGCAATCTGGAAAGGATTTTGATGACATGAAACCCAGCTCAACAACCTATCTTCACTTCGCTTTCAGTCTTTCAGATCTGAATCCCACATTTGGCCAATCAAACTGAAACTGACAGGTCAGAAGAGCGGATCATTCATGAAGCTGCAGGGCTGAGAACTGAGTCTGGATGCCCAAATTAGGAGAAAAACCTGTGGGTGATCACAAAGCCTACCTTCATGACCTTTGAGGGTCGTAATGACTGAACAGGAGTTCTGTTCCAGCTTCAGAAGTGTGATCTGTCCGGAATAATCGCCAACAAAAGCATACTGAGTATCAAAATCGTATCTGTGGAGAAGCAGTCAAGGATATGTAACACAATCCATCTAGAAGTCATCAAACAGAAAAATGTGCATTTTAAAGACCTAAGCATAAAACTATGAGACAGGAAGTACCCAACTGAAATTCAGGCATTATGTACATATTTAAGAAAACAAGCTTTCAAGCTGGTAAATTTTCTTGGGAAAATTAACATTCGTTCATTTAACAAGAATTCATGGAGTACCTACAACTATTGTAATCAATGCCCTAGGAATTAGGAGTAAAAAAGGTTAAGGAGTGACAGAGAAGTGAGACATGAAAACAAGTAATTATAATCGAATTATAAGAGAGTTTAAAAAAGTAGGATAACAGTGAAAACAGCAAAAAAGAATTGGAACAAAATTGCTTTTTATGAACTATCTCTGGAGATAATGTAAAACTGATAGCAAATATGACATGTGCACCTATCCCTCTTTGGCGTAGATGATGCAGCTTTAAATGAAAAGCATGGGTTTATTTTAAATTGCTGTGGAGAGTTTCATCATCCAAAAGACAGCTATTTGGGGCAGTGGTAAATTTAAATTTTAAAAATATACTAACTATTGATAACAACGCATTACTTTCTAAGTCACTTAATGGGCATAGATAGACCTTTATGGCCAATCTGCAGCATAAACACATCAGGATAACCACTGCTTTGATTCCAAAACACAGGTCAAAAGGAGCATCACAGGCTGGGCCATGACTCTGTGATTCTGTGCCATTTTCTATCAGTCCATATGAAAAGCCCAGCACATAACAGAAACACTTAATTAGCAAATTAAATATCTGAGTATTTTTCCCTTATTTGATTCTGAAGTGTATGGTACTGCTTTAATGCTTACTTTAAATATCTCATGCTGTGCATTGATTTGTAGCAAACATTTTTTTACAGAGGTTTTCAATGGAAAAAAAAAAGAATTTACTATGCGAGACATCCAACTCTAAAAGAAACTACTGTGGGGCATCTATCTGCCTGTTGACAGCCTTGATCTTGCTGTCACTAAGATACACAGCTACTGCGAGAAGTCCCTAGCAAGGGCAAATTCTACATGAAACAAATGCCATACAGTGGTAGAAAACTGTGAAAGCAGCAATTTATTAACATTCTGGGGGATTCTGAGGCACTTCTGAGAATATGGAAAGGATTATGAACCCTCTCCACACATTCACACAAACTATGAAACTCCTTTAAGCCCGTTTATGAAGAACTCTAGGGTCACAAATCCTTACTATATTCTCTTTCAGGGTCTGCCAATAAGCAAATAAAAGATCGATTCCTTTCTACCTTTATTCAACAAAAAAGTCTTTTCTTTCACCTTGAAATGCAAAGGAATAAGGGGGTGGGGGTTTGCATTAATGAGGTTTAGGTTTCCAAGATTTTGTATTAAGAATGGATAGTACCTCCCAATAAGAACAGTAATTCACCTAATTGTTATTTTTAATACACCAATTTTATACCAAAGAAAAGCAGATATGGGAAGTCTTGCATTTCAAGTGAAATACACAGGAGTCACTCGGTCTTTGGATCTCAACGGACAGGTTATGAGCGTACTCAAAGCCAACTACTGAGCGGAGGAGGTGCTGGGCAGGAGGAGGTCCAGCCCTTGGAAGGATACTGTAAGCACGAAGCCCAGGAGGTGAAGAAATGCCTCCCCAGCATGTTGCCACTGCGGGTGCACATCCAGCTGACACACTTGTCGTGGCCGGTGCTGATGACCCACTCGGCGGCCAGACTGAAGATGATCGCAGACACCCGGTTCTGATGAGCTGCAGGGACAGAAACGGAAGTCGGCACCCTTCGCGAAGAAACGGAACCTTCCGGATCAGAACCGAGCCCCACCTTCTCCAGCTGTTCAGCCGGGAGACCCACAGTCTGAACAGGGGTACCAGGGAAATGCCTGTGCGCTGAGAGCAGCTTCAGATAACTGCCCTACCCGACCGCACCAACAGGCTTTCCGCGGCCCAGCCGCCCTGTCTCCCCACCTGATGGACAATCGTGAGCTGCAGCTTACTAAAGACTGATGCTCGAGGGGGATTCCGGTAACTCATCAAAGAGCAGACCTTTTCTTCCCCTTTTCTGTACTCGAGAACATTTTTACTTTGCTAGTACTATCAATAAGGTCCATATGAAAGGAAGTAGTATTTTCTTAAAGGAGCAATGTGTTTTTATAGCCTATCACTTCACTACTTTGACCTTTTAGAAAACACTGGCATTGTAAAGGCGCCTGGGTGGCTCAGTTGGTTAAGTGACTGACTCTTGGTCTTGGCTCAGGTCGTGATCTCAGGGTAGTGAGATGGAGCCCAGGTTGGGTAAGTGAGAGGTCTGCTTCTCTCCCTCGGCACACCCCACCCCCCGGCCCCAAACCCTGCTCAGGCTCTGCTCTGAAATAAATAAATCTTAAAAAAAAGAAAGAAAAAGAAAACACTAGAATTGTAAACAAGAGAACTTAAATTTTCTGAAATAAAAAAAAAAATAGTGTAAGCATTTTGTTTCTGGAATAATTTCTGCTTGTGTAACTTTTTATTATTTATAAAAACAAAGTACTTAGAGAGTACCGTATTCCAAAGTAATAGCTGAGAATGAGGAAAGTATTCTGTTACCGAACTCCTGAAATGTTGCATTTCCAGCTGACTGTAAGCCACACTGGGACAGTGACCTGTCAGTCTACTTCATCTAGTGTAGGACCTGGCATGCAGCAAGTGTTTAATAAATGCCCAATCTGATGAATGAAGTCAGAGGCTAAACAGAGAAACTTCTGACCTTGCTCTCAGCTGTTCAGGTTGTTTTGGAAGAACCGAGGGACACTTTCTTATAAATTAATTAGGAAATACTACAACTCTGTGAGTACAGGGGTAAAATCATGAACAGACATTCATCAGACCTAACAAATGATCGCCATTAAGTAAAGCTTAAATAATTTATAAATTGAGAACTATTTTGATCATCAAACAGGCAAAAAACATTTGTTAAGAGCAATGATGCATAGGCTGGATGAGCTAATACTCTCAGCCACCACTCATGGGCCTGTAAAAGCTTACGATACGCTAATGTGGGGAGAAGATTGCAAAATAAATCTAGAGCATTAAAACACTTTTTAATGTTCAACCCAGTTACTCCATTTTTAGGAATTTGTCTTAAATAGAAGCAACCAGGGTTACAGGATTAGAGTCAGAGTCAAGGACACGCACACACTGTGTATGTATACATGAAATATACACTCACAGATATACACACACACAGACACACACATTGTCATATATATTAGTGTGTGTTATCAAAAAACGGAAGCAGTACATAAGCTCAAAAATAGAAGAATGGTTAAATTAAATCTGATAATGCACCCAATGGACTAGTAAATGCAAATTTAAACACTGATAAGCAGGTAAAGGATGGTAAATAACCCTGAAGAGTTGACAGCATCCTCTATAATTGGGGGAAACACATCTACAAAGTTAATGTGAAAACCTAATTCTGATCACAAGAGACAGAGCTCTCGTTTTGTGTCTATTTACATACATGTGTATGCAAGTATGTGTTTGTATTATAATTACCTGGGTAGGTCTTGATAAAGTTCATTTTATTAAAATCCTCAGAAACATGAAATTCCTAAAAGTAAACATATGCAGTAAGAACACAGTTATGATTTTAAAAACAGGAACTTAACTTTCAAAACAAAGTAAAATCCAAGACTAGCTATCACCAGAGTAGGGACTCAAGATTAGCTGTAACAGAATACTAGGGAATTGCTTCCTTCATCAGACTTGTCCTCAGGCCACGATCTCTGCTGGGGGCCAGACCGAAGAAAGGTGTTGCCGATCAGCATGGCGTTTTTGTTCAATTCTTCCTCCACAAGTGCAAGCTTTGTGGTCCCTCTCCCTCTACTGCAAAGGAGGCATCTTTGCTAATTCTGCTCTCTCGGCTACACTGAGTATTCCCAGGATGACACACATGAAGCAAGACTGCAAAGATCTGTTAAGAGAGTTCTCAGCTGCAGTGAAAATAAGGCACTGGGAACCTCAGCAACGTAAGGGGGATATTATACACATGTCACAGAGAACACACACAAAAAAAGGGAAATTCAGAGACTGTGAGTGGCTTGCTTCTTTTAATATTCTTGTATTTTTCAAATACAAGTATTTGGAAATAAAGTATGTAATACTTTATAAGTAGGAAAAAATAAAAGTATATGCTTTTTAATGAAAAAATCAGATTCAGCATAAAACCAAGAAGACAAAACTCTAAAGAAAAAACACTAAGAAGTCTATTGATCAATGTTAACTGAAAAGTTCTTAAGGCGCTAAGGAACACGGGCATTAGGAACTGTTATACATACACACACACACACACACACACACACACACACACACAGAGGAATACTGATTCCTTGCTCTCCATCTTGATATTGCGAAGTACAAAAATGTGTAAGTATATGTAAGTATGTGTATATGTATGCATTAATATATACAGTATATTGCGTGTGTATATTTACACAGATATATACATACATACACACCGGGGACAGTATAAATGTATTATTATATAGATCATTGTACATATACTGATCTGTATTGGATGGAAAATCAATAGATCAATTGTTACCAAATGATACACTGGGTTTGCACTGCCCCTTTGCACTGAAGAGCTATGAGTTTTTATACGCTGTTCTACAATCACAGAGTCTAAAAGCATCCCTAGAGAGACAAAGTGTGCAACCATTGGAGGAACTATTTGTGCTTTATGGTTTCTGGTTATAAACGTGTCTGCACATCACCATGATATACCTATAAAATTCCAGAAGGAGGAATACGCAAACACTGACATCTACTACTACTATGGTATTCATAGCAGTCCCCAGCTGATGGCAAAGACCTGGGACAGCCCAACCCTGCAGCCCTCACCATCTGCCTACTGCTGAGTGAACTGCTTGGGCAGAGAGCCCATCCTTTCCACTGGCTTTTTCCTTCCTGGCCCTTAAACACACACTCAAGGCTTCTTAGCCTTTAACTCTAAAAACAAAACAAGTAGACACAACAAAACACTTTTAGCAGTTCTACGACTTTCCTCAGATCCTTCTCTAAAAATCAGCCCACACTGATGACCCACCATGGCACACGGCATACGGCACGGAAAGGGCTTCCCTTGCTCAGCACCAGCTGCTAACTGCTGTTCCCAAGGTCATTTTCCAGGCCTGACCTCATCCTCTTCCCACTGCACCTGGCCCTGTGACTCACCCAGCCCTGTGACTCACCCCTGCATGAAACTCACTGTCTCTCCGGCTTCCACAGTCACAGTGTCCTGGCTGGCTCTCCTCCCACTTTGCCCATTCTGCCTCCGTCTCCTCCAGGGACTCCCAGTCTCTGAATTTCCCTTAAATACTGGTATTCCCAGGGAATATGACCTTGGCTCTCTGCTCTTCTCAGTCTACCTGCTCTCCCTAGTTGAGGCCAGTCACTGCTATAGTTGCCACTGACACCTATGTCAGAGAACTCCCAACCCTACACTCCAGACCAAACCCTGAGGTTTATGTCCATGTACCCAACTATAGTACTCACCTCATCACTTTTCCCTCTATATCACATCTTTCCTGTCTTAGAACGTAGCTGACCACTCAGCACCACCATCCTGGCTAAAAATCTGGAAGCCATCTTCACCCCATTCTCCATAAAACACCCACATCCAACTAGACATCAAGTCTGCCACCCAGATAGCTCTCAAAGCTAACACCTCTTCTCCAGCGCTACCCCAGCATTTCAGTGTCACACTGGGGTCCTGAAACAGACTCTTAACTGGGACGCCTCAGTTTCAACCTTGTCCCCTCAAACTCTACACACTGGCACAGTAAGCTCAAAAAAACAGAAACCCAACCATTCTATCCTCCCCTGCTTAATGCTCTTCAATGTCTCCCCCTCATGCAGTGACTCCCTACTGCACCTGACCCTAAGGCTCACTTTTGAGAGAGGTCACTGAGAGGGCATGACCACCAGTTGACCCATGAGCCGGGCCCTGGCAGTCAGTTGTCCGAGGCTCCTCACTGCTTACCCCTCTTTGGTATGTATGTCCCACTGCCTTCCCCATTCCAGAGGCTGCCCCAAGTGCAGAGACTTGATGGCGATGTGGTGTTAGGGCCATCAGGATGATATACAAGACTGAACCCAGCTCAGGCCTCTACATAAACTTTTAAGACTCTGGTGAGTGGGGACAGAGATTTACTCGTCTTGCAGCCACTCAAGACAAGCCTTGTACGTAAGCTCCCCTGCTCATTAAAACTGCCACCCAGCAATGTGGAGTGACCTGCTTCTTTTTTCGGTCTCACACAATTAGACCCACAAAAATATCTATCAATCTATAATAAACTGAATTTTTAACCATCTGGTCCTTCACCAGGGTTAGCTTGAGAAGCACTGCCTTAAAGAGTTATAGGACTTGTTGGCTGGATAACTAGTCACTGACCTTGTTCTCGTCCCCCTCTGTTGTTACTTACACACACACAAACACACCAGCACCCACAGGCTCTCCACTGTGCCTGCCCTGCTTCCCTGTAGTTCAAGGACAGGGCTGCTGCAGACCATATATTCAGTGTATGAAGGCTGAGCACCAAGCATTCTGAACTCCATGACTTGTGTAAAAATAAGTACAAATGAAAATTAATCCATTTTTCGGCCTCGTGTCTAGACTGAATTAAACATTTTGTTATGCCAAACAATCAGGCATTCACTGCTCTTTATTTAAACTGTCCACAGGCATGAACGCAGGGGGGGTCAGTATTAAGGAGAGCGCTCTGCACGCGACCTACCATCACGGCTCCGTTGTCCTGACCCACAAACACCCGTCTGCTGTCGTGGTGGTGGTGGTAAGCCAGAGCAGAGCACGGGGCTGCCGGAAAGACAGAGACCGCGTTACGAGCAAAGCTAGGCATTCTGAGTCATTGTTTAAAATACATTACTATAGAATTTACATTAAAAACAAGAGGGCAAGACTGTTTTAGAGAAAATAATGATGTAAATGGAATATGTTATTCAAGTTCTTTCTGTTGTTTTAGTTTAAAATACCAATTCAAAAAATCTTCTACATTATTTTTCTGACTTTGAGGGCAGCGAGCCAGCATGAAGCTTCATCTGGTTGAAACTCCTACCTCCAGGCTGCAGAGTGTGGGGGCCAGTGCTCAGAGTGAGGAACCTGTTACCCAAACTCAGCAGGCCAACCTGGCCCCATGCCCCCTTCCCCATAACAGAGTGGTCACAGAGAGGCTGGACTCTGTGGAAAAGGGGTTCCTATCCCACTGTACATGTGAGCGAGCAGGGCAAGCCACTTTGGGATTATGTGCTCTCTTGAAGGGTCAAGAAAGGCTCCCCTTCCCGTGACATACACAACCTCAGTGTATAGGGAGTGAGGTGTACATGTGAGGTATACATGTGAGTATACACATGTTCTTTGTCCGCAGCAGTGTCAAGTGCCTGGGATAGCACCTGCTTCTTCCCACGTCCATATCCCCTTCCAGGTTCTACCTGTCTTGCTTCCAGAAAGCTTGGGCCAGAAAATGAGTTTCAGAAAGGAGAAACTCTACAACATCTCCTTCTGCTTAAAATCAGATTGAAGTGATCTGGAAAATGGAACATGTGGAAAAAGAAATATCTGGGTTCATATCAGCCTAAAGAAGTTTAACTGACCACAGGAGACCCGCGAGGGAATACATTCCATGAAACAAACCTGAGTTTACTTTAAGGCAACACTTCTTATAAAAAAGTACAACCAAAAAAGGCTTATAAGTGACATGACCACTTGAAAACAGGTTAAAGTTTTCTCTCTACAAAGGGCTGACATTTTCTACTGAAGGATGAAGGTAAACTATGATGCTCCACTGCACCTGGAGGCAAAGAAACAGCAAGCTGTACGATCAGATCAGGGGAAGGGACATTTTTCAGGTGCATTCAGAGAACTACCCCACGGGGAGGCAGGAGCTGTAGCTGTCTGCACACGAAGCAATTACACGTCACTGAAGCCTGTACCCCTCACCCACCACACCGAAGCGGGAGCCTATAAAGAATCAGTGTCTGGGTGGCTCAGAAGGTTAAGCATCCAACTCTTGATTTCAGCTCAGGTCATGATCTGGGGTCATGAGATAAAGCCCCATGTGGGACTCCGCACTGTGTGTGGAGCCTGCTTAAGATTCTTTCGCTCCCTCTCCCTCTGCCTTTCTCTTTCTCTCTAAAAAAGAATGATCGAGTTTAAGAATTATAACCACAGGGCTGCCTGGGTGGCTCAGTGGGTTGGGCCTCTGCCTTCAGCTCGGGTCATGATCTCAGGGTCCTGGGATCGAGTCCCACATCGGCTCTCTGCTGGGCAGTGAGCCTGCTTCCTCCTCTCTCTCTCTCTCTACTTGTGATCTCTCTCTGTCAAATAAATAAAATCTTTAAAAAAAAAAAAAAGAACTATAACCACAAAGGTGTAAATATCTTTGTCATATAAAGTACTCTATATTTTTATTTTTATTTTTTTAAAAGATTTTATTTATTTATTTGACAGAGAGAGATCACAAGTAGGCAGAGAGAAAGGTTGGGGGAAGCAGGTTCCTCACTGAGCAGAGAACCCGATGTGGGGCTCAGTCCCAGGACCCTGGGATCATGACCTGAGCCGAAGGCAGAGGCTTTAACACACTGAGCCACCCAGGTGCCCCTGAAGTACTCTTTAATAACTATCATGAAAATATCTTTGGGGGGGGGCCTGGGTGGCTCAGTGGGTGAAGTGTCTGCCTTCGGCTCAAGTCATGATCCCCGGTTCCTGGGATTGAGCCCCGCATTAGGCTCTCTGCTCAGGGGGGAGCCTGCTTCTCCCTCTGCCTCCACCTCTCTCTCTCTCTGTCTCTCATGAATAAATAAATAAAATCTTTTAGAAAATAATAATAATAAAATTATCTTTGGCAAATCAAACATGCATTGGTGATTTCTGATTCATTGTCACCATTTTGCTTACTTTTAGGTTGGTACAAAATCTTAATGCTTTAGTTTTAAGCTTCTTTTCAATTCTTTTTATGTCCAACCCTATAACAAACTATACATAAATATGTAACATCCTCTTGTGTAAAATTTACAATGTGCTGAGTAGTTTTATGAGGCTAGAGAATTCTCACATTGGGGGGGAAAAAAAGCTTCCCTAATTTATTTGCTCTGTATCCAAAGATGTCCTGGCATTTTTCCCTAGAAGGGAAGCTTCTAATGAGATAAGTGGTATTAATTAAAAAAAATTAGATATTCACAGTTATATAAACACACAAAACATACATCATCTTTCAAATCAGTGACCTTTTAAAAAAGCATCATTGCAATCCAAAATCATAAGCTTAAAACTCGAGTTTCACAAATAAAGGTTATTTCTGTTTTTTTGGAATATAGTCGGGCTCCTTCGTTTATGTACTGTTTATGGTTGCTTCCATGCTGTAATAGCAGAGTTGAGTGGTTGCCAAAGAGGCTGTTTGGCCCACAACGTCTAGATATTTACAGGTCGACCCTTCACTAAAAAACCTGGCAGGCAGCACAGTTCTGGAGTCTGATGGGCGCAGACGGAATTCCCGCCACAAGCAACGGACTCAACCTCTGGTGTCAGTTTCCTCACTCACCAAACTGTGAAAAAATAATCTACCTTTTATAGCTGTGTGATTTCATAAAAATGGTATTGTAAAAAATAGGCAGGAGTCACACAGTAGATCACAGAAACTAGGGGTTACCATTTTTCTTCAGCTAAAGCATATTCTGAAATTTATTTTTGTTACAAGAAGTAAAGTTATGAAAAAACTCAACCGCACAGAGCAGTACACTAAGGACTGGCTGTTAGATCACAAGAAGAAGTTCAAATTGGTGGATGGTCACTAAAGTGTCCTCAACTGGATAATCTGCAGATAGTTTTTGGAACAGGTCACTTCGCATACTTTGAACTCATCTTCAATTAGAAGTCCCTGTAAAGCAGTCGTTTCTCATCATTCATTCACCCTGCTCTCTGCTGGAGGCGTTTGTACAGTCCCAGCAGTGACGCAGTTCCAGATGGAAGTGTAAGGCGCAGTAGGGAAGCATCTGGAAGCCATAAGCTGAATATGTTTAGGTGCAAACATATGGATGTCGGCCACTCACAGAGACGCTATGCCTGTTCTTTCCAGTTGTTGCTGGTCCTTCCAGACACAGCATTCTGGGAGCTGCTTTGGCTGGCGGGGGCAGGGGAGCATTTAAACCAAGTTAGCAAGGGATGGCTACTGAGATAGCCAAAGCCATGAGCTCAAGACCTAAAAGCCAAAGAAGAGTGCACACTTCTGCTAAATTCGGAGAGAGCAAGTATAAAGCTGTACGAACTCTCTGGGATAAATATAAACCGGGGGGGGAAGTGAACTGAACATAGGACAAAATCCATCTCCGTCTCTATTCCAGGAAGCCTGAACTCCAAGGTCGAGGACGCAAGGGCATGAAGCTATGCCCAAAATGCGAAGTGCGGAGGAATGGAGGGGAAGGAGGACTAAGAGCAGTAGTGTTAACAAGACTGTTCACAAAGATGACAGAACATTCCCCAGCACTGGCAGGACTTCCTTTCCAGCTGTGAGACGCTTCCCTGGGCCGCTGAAGGGAAGGGCTTATCAGTCTGAGAGATGCTCTGCCCTGGTCCGAAACAATCAAACTCTGATTTGAAAATCTGTCCAACGGGCTCTATGAGTGCACATACTGAGATGCAGGGTCATCGTCATTGAGAATAAGCAAGGTCACGCAGCCACAGTCCACGTGGACGTGGGCAGGAAGTGCTACTGCTTGGCACAGTAAGTTGTGATTGGGTTCTCAGGGGGTCTTCTCAGAGGGGCCATACTGTAGAATTCTGTATCTCCCTCTGCAACAGTTATCGTTACAGCAGCAGCCCACAAAGTCTTCACATTCGTGGTGGAATTACCAAGACAGAGGTGAGCAGTCTGTCCAAGTTGTCCCAGGAAGGCAGGAAAAATCACACTCCTGATCGACTTCTGATTTTTTCTGTACGTGATCACAGAAGCTGAACAGTGCGCGCCCCGGGATAGATGCAGGAAGGAGAACGTGCCAGCCGAGAAAGGAGGCGCTCTGAAGGACGACCCAGATGGATTCCTCGGAACTTGGTGAAGAACTGGCTGTTCTGTGTTTCTAACACACTCTACTGCCTCTGGAATGAACTCTTGAGAAAGCTGGGAACACTGTCAACAGTGTCTGCAAACAATGGCAAGAGCTCTTCCTCGGAGGATCTGACCATAGCCTTCAGAAGAACAAAGCATCAAGCAAGCCCCAAATCCTTTCTCTTCCTCGGGGGTCTTCTGAACACCCAAACCATTAATGGAGGAAAATTCCTCATTAAGGACCAACATCACACGAGGGAGTGAATAGCGATGGTGCCTTCCGTGTGGCCATTTGGGATAGCAGGACCCAACCCCAGAGTGGGCCCAGGGGCATCCAGGCCTCTGCCCAGGGCTTTCTTTCCAAGAAAGGAGGAAGAGAAGAGGGGCAGGGACGGATGGCAAGGCTGCTCACATCCGCAGGAAGGGCTGGAACTTCGGTGTAATTTTATGTCACTGCCCCTCAGGGCTCTTTTAAAATCGCAGTGCAAAAGCTTTATCTTCTGGATTTATTTTGTGAACCTAGTGAACTATTGAGAAAATTCTCCATACAGAATGGATTATACTTCGGACGCAATCTCTCAGTAGTACCCGGAAGTTTGTGAAAAGGGTGAGCAGAAGGCGGGTTATGAGGGCATGGGAGTACACAGCTCTTTTTTAGTGCCAGGCTCGGCCACTTCCAAGCACACAGTCATTCCAAACACAGGCTGGCAAAACAAAAACAAAGGAAAACCTGGGGGCAGTGAGGCACGCCCCTCCCCCTGCCTCTCCTTGTTTTTCAGTTTTGCTCAAGTCAGCTTTAGGTGAGCCAGCAGACCTGACTTCCTTTGCAAAAGAAAAGGAGTCTTCCTGCAGCTTAGCACAGTCTGTTGGAGTATTAGGCAACTAAGAAACCCATTTTGAAATCTCGTAGCACTTTTTTAAAAAAAGATTTTATTCATTTATTTATTTTTGTTGGGGGGGTCAGGAGAGCAGAAGAGAATCTCAAGCAGACTCCCTGCTGAGCAGATCTCACAACCCTGATATAAAGACCTGAGCCGAAATCAAAAGTCAGATGCTTAACTGACAGCTACCCAGGCACCCCTCTAGTAGCACTTTTTAATCAAGCACTTTGAACTCTGAATCACCAAAGGCATTAGACATACTTCCTGGAGTAGAACAGTTCTGCTACTCACAGGCCATGGTGTGGTAAATGCTGGGCCAGTACTGACCACTGTCTCTTTTCAGCCATACTCGGATGGTTCTGTAGAGAAAAGAATGGAAGAGCAGTCTTTAGCAATTTCATCGTATTTGTGCTCCAGGGAAATATAATTATTTACTTTATTTTCAATCCTGTTTCCCAATTGACCTTATAACATCGATCAGTTGGACAAATTAGAGAAATACAGTAGCAACCACAAGTACTGCACACAGTACCTTATATACAAACCGTGCGTGCACGCACATGCACGCACACACAGACACACACACACCATATCTAGCTACATATCTATGACCATGTATGGCAAGTTATGTGGCAGCTATGAGTCAGAATTTCAAATAATTTTAATAATATAGAAAATCTTATTATATAAAAATATACAATGAAAACTGCTGCTTTTCTTAGTAAAAAACAAACTATGCAAACTTGGTCGCCTGCCATCTGAGCCAAATGAGGGGAGCAGAAGACATAAACAGAAAGAGAATGCTTCTGGAGAACCGGGAGACATGTGCAGTGCCCCTACTGCTGCTGGTTCCCGATAATTCCTGGTCTTCCTGCCCTGGGGGAGGAAGTCATCCCACGCCAGGTCACTGGGCCTCTCCTTTCATCAGAACCTGCACAGGGAGATGAGGAAATCCTGCACACAGGCAGGAAAATGACAAATGACCAAAATAGCAAAGTTTAATATTCCGGCTTATCATGTCAGAATAACAATAAGGAACACTAGGGCTCTTCCTACTCCACTCGCAGAAGCTCCTCAAAGCTCCAGGTCCCTTCCTCTTCCCAATGCCGGGGACACTCACTGCATCTCCCCACACAGGCTCACTCTGCTTCTGTGCTGGGTCCCACCCATCCCACTGCCCCTGACTCTCAGCTCTGTCACAATCACGCTAGGATTTCTAACAGCAACGCAGATTCTCGTACACAGCTGGCACTGATTAAATGTCTGCACCTTAAATTAAAATACATAAGTCTAAATGTTGACACGATCTGTCTTCATTTTGTTTGGCATTCAAGACAAGTGTGACTAGTCCATGAGGATAAAAATCAGAATGGTGTTGCTTCCAGGGGAGGAAGACAGAACGTAAAGGGATATGCAGGAACTTTCGGGGTAATGATAAGGGCTCTGGGGAGTTGGTTTCATGAGTACAAGCATTTGTCAGGACTTGCCTAACTACAATTCAGATCTATACAGATTACTGTATATAATTAGATTGCAATAAAGACTAGATGTTGACCTTCATTCATCCAAATAAATAAGAGGACCTAGCAGCAGAGTTGGCAAATTACTATTTTGTATATGAACTGGATACAGGCCTCAGAGTAGAAGCCATGTGTACAACACGCCATCTTCCAGCCACTGCTGATTGGTCACAATGGAATCTTTACCAACTTTCTCCACATCCCACCCCTGATCACAACTGGCTAGACCAGAAATGGGGCGTCTGATCCTAGCTGGTCCAATCAGCTCCTCCCTGGGGAAATTAGGAACAGGGAGAGAGAAAAATAGATCAGTATCTCTGATAGTTGAAACGACTGTTTCTGGTCACATACTGTTTTCCGATTTGGACTGCAGAATGTTGCACATCAAAAAAAGGGAAAGAATGAAGTCAACCTATTAAAAGAAGCAGAATCAATCTGAAGAGGGTCCAGGTAAAAGGCCCTCATGCCCAAGACCGAGCTACTTCCCTAGTCTGGTGTTCTTTGAGGCAGATACCGCAGCATCCTTACCAGAAACACTCTCAATAGCTTAAGTCAGCCTGAGTTATTTCTGTTGTTGGCGATCAAGCAGATATTAATACAGGACATCTACCTGATGACACCAAGAATATCAGACCCAGTTTCTTCAGTTGAGCACCATTAAACAAGCTCCTATGTGATGAGGTTCACAAGGCAGGATAACCAGGCAGACTTTCTTTCAAGATACCTGTATTGTGACAGTAAGTTCTAAAGTCTAAGTTCATATGCAAAATTAAACGAGAGATTAAGAATAAAGAATATAGGAAGGGACCTTTAATTTTCATAATTTGTAATTCTATATCCTCACAAACACACAGGCAGCTCAAAGAAGGACTCAGTGGCACATGCTCTCCCTCATGGAAGAAGAGCAAAACTCAGTAACGGAGAAGCTGGCCCTGAGTGCGAAACCCTAAAGGTCACCTCTGCCATCCAGTCACCTAACCTCGAAAAGTCTAATTCTTATTTCATGAAGTTCAGAATGATATATAAAATAGCCCAAGGTCAACATGGAAACTACCCAGACACCAGCACCTTGGGAACACAGTATTACTTCCTTTGGAGGACAAACATTAGTACTACAACTTAGTCTGCATCCGGCTGACACACCAGCAAACGGGCAAGACTTAAATTATCTCACATGATGTTTCGTTTGAAAATCGATTACATCCGGGCTGAGAGAAGACCATCCTTGCTTGAGAATCAAGTTCCAAAACAGGCACCTGACCTTGATAGTCCGCTCTACCTCTCCATATTCACATCTTCTACCTGGAATTCTGTCCTGTCTCTTTTCAAGCCTCGCTCTTTCCCCTCCTTCCACAACAATGCGAAAACCTCCCATTTCCAAGACTAAATCAAAACAATGTTAAGTTTAACACCTAACACTCCAGTACTTTACCCAGAACCAATGTATTAAACAAAGTTGTATTATTTCTACTAAATAATATAAGAATTTGTTTTGTATTGTGTTTAGAATGTCTCTTGATTGGGTAATAAATGGTTGTAATAGGCTTAAGTTGGGCTGCTTATTAAAAAAAATCAACAAATTCAAGAGACAAAAAAAATTTACTATTCAGTAAACTGGAAGTAAAATCTAAGTTGAAAGCAACACAATAATACAGTTTAGTAACATTTACAGGACAAAACTATTAAAAACTCTAGTATGTTATTAATAGACTATATAATCACCAAGTATCAAGATCAGATTGTTTTACTTCTATTAAAAACCACAGTATTTTCTGCCTAGCTGAATGTCTAAGCCAGTCTCTTTGAGTTAAATTAAAATATAACAGCTTAACTTTTCCTTTAATATTTTGACAAGTTTACACCCACTCACCTAAACTCGTTTTTTATGCTTTGCTTGCTGCTTATTTTAGCCATTTTTTTAATGGATGGGTTTTCTTTGAGATTCTAAGACCATGCCAGTCTGAAAAAAAGGTCTTTCCTTAAAATCAAAACCTTAGAAACATGTTCACCTTTGCCAGGCTCTACTTTTATTTTAAAACAATAGTCCGATAGTTTTCCAAAAGGTACTTAGAAGGGAAATGTGTCATTTCTTTCAGAGCCTACATAAAATTTTTCCAGAGGTCTCCATGCTACTGTTACCTACACTGATCTCCCGTGCCCTTCTTGTTAGAGATCCTTGGGCTCACATACAGCTGCAGTATTTTCCAAGGGGAGGTGAGAAAAGCTGTTTCTATGTAAGACGGTAATGTGATACATGTATGATCACGCCAGACGCCCACCGCGACCATCACTTCATCTGTCTTTCTTCAGCTAGCTGGATGACCTGCTTGTTTTCCAGATAAAGGAGAAGCCAAAGCTGGATGGTAAATTTTTATTTTAAGTATTTCCGACTGAAATGTGTTTAAAATGTATCGCCATGGAGGGCTAAGCAAATGAACACGTGAAAACAGTAACAGAAATGCCATTTCTGGGGCTCTCATAATTTTCTGCCAGCGCTGTAAATCAGAACTCACTCTTCGGCCAGAATTTGTTCCATATACCGAGAAAAACGTTTCCTGCCTAACTAATACGGCTGCTACCACTCCTACTAATAGTAATGGCAACAAAAAGTGATTTAGGAATTCCACGCTTGGCAAATGAGTCCAAAGAAATTATTTAATAGGAAAAAAAGAATCACACATTACTAAAAAGTTCCTATGAGCATCATTCCAAGGAGTAAAAACTGGGAAATGTTAAATAATGAAATGGATTAATGTCATATTAATTCAACAGTTGACATAACCATTACAAATAGTTCTGAAAATCATGAGTTCAGATAAGCTACTGAATTAGCATGCTCACGCAGTCATCAAAAACAGTTGCAAAGGGGCACCTGGGTGGCTCACTGGGTTAAAGCCTCTGCCTTCAGCTCAGGTCATGATCTCAGTCAGGGTCCTGGGATCAAGCCCTGCATCAGGCTCTCTGCTCAGCGGGGAGCCTGCTTTCTCCTCTCTCTCTGCCTGACTCTCTGCCTACTTGTGATTTCTGTCTGTCAAATAAATAAATAAAATCTTAAAGAAAAAAATAGTTGCAAATACTATGAACCCACGAGAAAATGTTTATGAAATGTTCATTTTTTTGTAAAAAGAAAAAAAAAGCATAATGTAAAATGATATATCTAACTTGTAATTAGGCTGGGAACACACCTGTGAAGCAGCCAAGGCCTTCAGCTCTGTTTTGGGGAGAGGGGGAGGTACTGGAGCCCTGAGACTCGGAGAACTCCAGGGTCCCCAACCTCCACTCAGTAAGCGGAAGAACAAGCCAACCATTAAACAACGCTTCACGAGCCCTCAGGCACTCAAGGATATCATCCGTTCAACTTCAAGGCAGTTATCTAAATGTGAAGACTGGGGACCCCTAGGTGGCTCAGCGGGTTAAGCGTCTGCCTTCAGTTCTGGTCATGATCCCAGGATTCTGGGATCAAGCCCCGAGTCAGGATCCCAGCTCAGCGGAGTCTGCTTCTCCCTCTGCCCCTCACCCGACTTGTGCTCTCTCTCTTTTAAATAAATAACATTTTAAAAATCAATCAATAAATAAACGTGAAGACTGTACACTCCCTACGAATGCATCCGTTAAAGCACTCCCAACATGAGCAAACAAGGCTGAGGAGTGACGCTCCAGGGCAAGCGCAGGCTCTAGAATCCGAGGCAACTCCAAGCAGGCTGCAGCCACTTCTCTTCAGTAAGGCAGAGCCTAAGAGGTTCTGGTCATCCCTCTCTGATAGCTCTCCTCTGAGGCTGATTCTTCTGTCTTCAACAGACACTCCTGCCACGGGTGAGTGTCTCCACGGGTCTGGAGCT